TAAAACTTAATAGTATAAATCTAGTTTCAAATGAATTTTAAATTGCGAAAAATTCCGAAAAAAATTTCAAAGATTCCTTCCTTATAATAAGGAATAAGTAAGCTCTGATTTCAACTTGTTTTAGAACCAAAAAAAGTATTCCTAAAAATTTTTAATCTATATTTTTTGACATATATAAATACTTTCAATCTGATAGACTCTCACTCATTAATGTGGACACTTTTAAAATGAATTATACATTGCAAAAAATTATAAGAAAATTGCAAAATACCTTTGTTTTTCTTAGCTATATTTGGTTCTGAACATAGCTTGTTTTTGACGCAGAGCGAATGAGTAGCACTATATGAGTCGCCTCATTCAATGGAGAAGACATTTTACGGTTAGCCTAATCGTAACGTGTTGTTGTTGCTTCTAATATCACTTGCCACACTGGCAAGCCTGCTTGGTGAAACCGAGCAAGTTTAAGGCAGAGTGTGCGTTTCTTGTTTTTCAGTGGCGCCATCTATGGCCAAGTTAGATCCATTCCAGTACCCCCAGAGGTGTTGATTTGTTATGGAAACATGGAGGACGTTTGCGACTCGACAAATTTAACGTGCATCAGTCACTTTACTACACGGGGAGACTTCGGCCGGCGGGGCTCTAACCCACGTACTCTCTGCCATGGGCCCAGCACCCTACCGACCAGGCTATTCCGGCCCAATCGTAATGTTAAACTAGATTGTACCACTATTTGTTCAATGTAAATATTATACTTAATCATAATAACAAGTGCGGAAGGGTAGCACTCATAATTCAGTAATGGAAGTAGTAGTGTACTGTACTGTGACCAGTGCGGATGGGACCAGTGCGGTGCGGATCTTCATTTCATGAAGAAGAAAAAATCCGTGAAGGCATTATATCTTAAGCCTATTCGTAATAGTAAACTAGCTAGTGCCACCTAACTCTAGATTCATCAATTAAAACAATTTTATTTAATCGTTTAACAAGTGCGTAAGGGTAGCATTTAGTTGTGCATTTACAAGTGCGGAAGGGTAGCAATCAATTGTCCATTCACAAGTGCGGAAGGGTAGCAATCCATTGTGCATTCCCAAGTGCGTAAGGGTAGCATTTAGTTGTGCATTTACAAGTGCGGAAGGGTAGCAATCAATTGTCCATTCACAAGTGCGGAAGGGTAGCAATCCATTGTGCATTCCCAAGTGCGGAAGGGTAGCACTTAGTTGTTCATTCATAAGTGCGGAAGGGTAGCACTTAGTTGTTCAATCACAAGTGCGGAAGGGTAGCACTTAGTTGCCCATTCACAAGTGCGGAAGGGTAGCATGCATAATTGAGTTATAAAATTGGTACTGTTTGTTATTTATTACGCGGGAAAACAACCTAGGTTGTGACTTTGTGGGAACTTTGTGATTCCAGAACTAATATAGTAAGTTTAAGTTTTGCATATTCACTTTGCACTATTAGTTTCTTTTGCATAATATGAATTCTATTACGTAATTTTATTACGAATAACACATAAGATTCTGTATGTGTGCACTACCGCCCCCATTAGACTTTTAGGGGTGTTGCTAGATGATCAGTAATAACTTACGGAATACTTATTTTTATTAAATTTTCAGTTCACATTAAAATTAGTGAACTTATTTTGCTTGAATCTAAAAAGTATTCATTCGTAGAGTAAATTCTGCATGTGCGAAATATTATTTAAGCTGTTATTAACGTAGCAATTTATTCAGTAAAAGTTTACTTACCATTCTATCAGTGAAGTTAACACTTTGGTAATCATTCTACTCAAAGTTCATAGTAATTATTTTTTTGCTCATCAATTTTTTAAAATATTTTTTAACACAACATTTTGAAATGTTTTGATTTTTCCTCATCACAAACATAATCTTATTAGAATTTTTAAAATAATTTTTTTTAAAGTTTGGTTACATTTTACTTTAGTTAAAATAAAATAATTCTGCCCCTTTATAAAGTTTTATACTATTCTTTAATTCCCTTAAAGTATCAAAAATTAAATACCAGCTATGAATTTCCAGTTTCAAAAATCCAAACACGAATATTTGTTAACCAAAGTTAAATTTTCTAAGCAATGAATTAGATTTGTAAGATAGTAACTTAAAAGAACAATATCTGCATTCAATTTTTTAAAATAAATTATTAAATCTTGATGACAAGCTTCTCAAATAAAGAATTAATATTTTGTCCGTTTATTGATCTGTCATGCTTATCAAAGCTTGAAATGTAAGAAAAAATGTTTATCTCATTTCGCATATATTTTGGTTTGATTTATGCAAATATTTTTTGTACAAATTATCATCATTGAAACCGTCAAAGAAAGAATCCTTCATTTTTTTTATTTATCAAAGTTAAGTTAAAAACATCTTTGAAAGAGAAGAATTTTAAAATTCGCGTTTAGAAGAGGAAAATATGTCATTAAGTAGTCACATGGCAAATAAAAAAAACAATTTCTATTGAAAAAAATAAATCTTATTTCACGTTTTACCTTCATTGAATGAATTTAATGATCACGTTTTTCTTTGACATGAATTACCATAAACTTGACATGTTAAAAAAAAGAAAATATTAAAATAAGAAACAATGCTTTCAATTTTTAAGCAAAAACTGAAGAAAACTATTTCTATATTAATTAAGGTAAGTGCTACTTACCCCGTTCTCCAGGACTGCCACATTTTGGAGGGTAATAAATATCAATTTGCTCAGTCATAAAAGACTAACATGTTTTAAAGACAATCACTTTAATAACGAAATATAACAAACAAAAAAAGGATTAACAATTAAACATCTAATTATCGTACGGAGCTAAACATGCTTGTTCACAGATTGAGATCAAAACATCAACTGGTGGCGCTGTGGGCGCACCAAAACAACATGCGCAGAAGTGGGAATTCTCGACAAATGCCTTAAATGATCTCAGAAAAATAAAAATACAACTTTCAAATCTTTAACGTATACAAAAAAGGGTTGAATTCTTCGATAACTATCATTTCTGTTTTGTATTAAATAAAGCACCAAAAATATGTCATTTCCCTAAACTTTGATTCTATATTGATTTCGTTTAAGATGTCTGTATTAATCAAAAATAAATAGAACAGTTTTTTTGCACTTACAAATGTCTTTATTTAGTGTTATAATAGTGAACTGAAACTTGCAAAAAAATTTTCCCAAATTTGTCCATTAATAATGTCTAAAATTACATAGTAAAAAGACTAAATGCTGCAAACAGCATTTTGTCAACTATTTTGTAATATTTGTCATAAAGTTTTAAATCTCTGTAAACAAAATTAACGAGTTCAACTTTACGCTACATGATAAAATTAATGATTTAAAATTTAATTTTAAAATATTTTATGCTTTTGCGCTCTATTTCTCTTGAACAGTTTTAGTTTAAATAGAGCGAATATTACTATAAAATAGTCCTATTACCTCTTTAATTTAAAATATTCAGAATATCTTTTGTTCAGATAGTACAGCAGCACAGCAAATGCCCTGTGATAAAATGAATTTTTAATTGTAAAAAAATTATCATAGTATAATCAGTTTTATATTCTTATATACATGTACGAATTTTATTATAGTGAGAAAAAGGTTTTGTGTATTGCAATTTGTAAAAGACAACTGTGACCAAAAAAGTTGGTTATCGAATTAATTAATAACCTAAAATTCTGCAGTAACTAAAACGCTAAAATTTTTGTTTGCTTTAAATTCTCTTCTTCTTCGCTTTCTTTTTCTTCTTCAGCCCTACAGCCCAGTGCAGGCTAATGCTTTCTCAATCTGTTTCCTACAGACAGTACGATACTGCAAGGTTTCTCAATCTGCTCACTGTCAACACTCTTAAATCCTTCTTTAAGTTTTGCAGCCATCTCGTAGGCTGTCAGTCTGTTATTTTTGTACTCTCGATCTTCCAGAATGTAAATTTTTTTGTCTGGATTTAGATCTTCGCATACACACACATAGAAAAATGAGTCCCAGCCATCTGATCCCGTAGTATTTAATAACTCTTTACATGTTAGGTTGTTTATATTTATTATATATTTCATGGTTATACAAGCTTCTCCAAATGTCATTTACTTTAACTGTTCCACAAATTTACTAAATAATCTTTTTTTCAGAAATAAGCAATCTATTTTTGCTCGTCCCGCAGTGGACTAATCGTTAAGACACGGTTCCCAGCAGATCACTCGAGGGTGTGCGGTATTGGTCCTCGTTAAACTGTGCTACCGTAAAGTGCTCGGCTTCGCGCGCAGGTCGTCGGGCTACCGAAGCGGGGGTGCCATCCCCTCCGCCGAGGATCAAAATTGTGATGGTATGTCTTCGGATCATCCTCCGGGATGTTTCCCAGACCGTCACCAATAGCCCATTGTGCAGCTCTAGTGCGATGTAAATTAACAACAATAACTATTTTTGCTCAAATTTATTGATTGTTTAGCTCTTGCAACCATACAAAACAACTGGTCTATAATCAGAGTTTGGTAAAAATTTATTTTACTACTTATAGAGATAAATTTCGACTCTAATTGGTTCCTTAGACCAAAGCAACGTCTATTTGCCATAAAAAATATGCTCCTAACTAGAGGTTTAATATTCTATTTTATAACCGCCGTTGATCAGCTGACCCAATTTTAGTTTACGACTACCAATGTTCAACACCGTAGTCTTGTAGTTTTGAACCCAATCCAGAAGACAAGGGAACTCGTGAATCATGTATCGGGAGAAACATGCCTTCGTGAAGGACAAGGTTTTTAAATCCTTTACAACTCATATGATTAAAAAAAAACATCAATGCAAAATTATACGGTTTTGTAACCATTTACAACTAGCAGTTTTTCAAAAACGTAAAAATGAAGTTTTTCGTTTGGTAATGGCATTTGGAGTTAGATGGACATTGAGTTGTGTCAAACCGTGGAATGTGGCTTAATTAGTTTATCTGGAGGTGCTATCGTCAGAGACGAGAAATATTAACCTTTTTTTGTGTTTACCAGGTGCTGTTATGTATGCGGGAATGAGAATTTCGTATTTTACAAGTCCAGGGCCACCAATTGAGGAGTGTAGGTCACTGGACGAAATATTCTTGTGTCAACGCTGGGATTCAAACCTCCCTTCAGCTGGTCATGGGAATGACGGAATAGCCCTCTCGCGTGTAGCATCATGCATCCAGTTGAAAGGAACTAAATGCTTCATAAGGTGAGCATAATTGGTGCGAATAAAATACTGATTGCTTAATTTATTAGGTGAAAGCAGTCAATAAAAGATTTTTCTCGCGGTTAGATGATCTTTTTTATGGTTATTTGACTGAATATGATAAAATACCAATGAAATAAACTGTTATTTAACTATTTCTTCCGACAAAAATTTTTTAACAGTGTATCTCGAAGACTAAATGCCAAGTAAAAATATTTTAACTTTATCAACAACTTTCACTCTTATTGTATAAAACCTTCTGAGTTGGTAATTGCTGTGCAAAATCATCTTGTAAAACAGTGTATAATCAGTTATACCACGAAATTTCTTTTTCAAAGCGAAGAACTCTTTTTATCACTAGAATTTATTTTTTGAGCAGTTATAATGCACAAAATTAAATCTTTTCTAAAATGAAAAATAATAATTCTGTATTATAGCATTATTTGCTTTCTCTCTCTCTCACACTCTCTTTAAAGTACACAAAATAAACTTAGTTTTTATTTAATAAATTTTTAATGAATTAAAAAATAGATAATTTCAGGCTCATAAATTAGAATTATTTTTCTTCCACCGTAATCCAACGTTAATAATGAAAATGTTTAACCAATACCATTATTAATACCTTTATCGTTTCTCTTTAAATATTTTTTTTTCTTTTGAGAGCCCTCAGCACATTTATTTATAAAATAATTTAATTGCTCTCACTTATGTTCGCATTTTCGTAGTAGTTTGTGTAACTTATTATGTATTTTTCCAATTAATAATTCCAACATAAGTTTACAGTACCATCGAATTCTGTCATGCAATTTAAGTACAGTCTTTAATTAAAGAAAGCTTCTTAAAATTGTTTGATTAACTTGTTCAAGCAGTTGCTTTTAAATTAGGATTACTATTTTGAAGTATATTAAATCCAGTTGTTAACAAAAATGCATTCATCTTTAATAAAAAAAAATTCTTCTTTATCGATCTAACGGAAATTAAATATACTTAAAAAAATTTTATTCAGCTTTTTCTTAAGTTATTGGATTTACTTTTTTGCTAAAAAGAAATTTTGCATTTTAATAAAAAAAATATACTAAGGTAGATTGAAATAAAATAAGAATAAAGCAGCGAAAAAGTTTTCCGGCTTTCCGGTTCTATATCTTAAAAGCGAAGTATTTGCTTAGTAAGGAAATTTTAATGTTTTCATGGTGTTAAGAAATCCGTTAAATATCTTATTTTTTTACTTTTTAGTTAAAGTATAATGAATTTTTTATATATTTTTTATCCTCACGACGAGTGATTTTTAAAAAAGGAATTATTTTAAAACTACGGCAGTTAAAAAATAATATTATTTGTAAAAAAAGTATTCAACATTTTTGAAATGCTCTTAAATAAGCACCATAAAAGGTTTTGGGTTTTAATGCTTTATAAATTTAATTTCAGAATTAAAATACGAATGGATTTTAGCATTCAACTTTTAAAATAAAATATATAATTCACCTATTATTTTTTTAAAATGTAGAGTCATTATGCTGAGTGTTTCACTACCAGAGCGACTAACTTTTGCTGAAAATGTGAAGAGTACAATATTATGGCTTAGAATTTCCTGCATTGTTTGCATTATGCATTGTTTATGGTTTTATTCATTGATATGATAGATCAACAGTTCTCAAACTTTTTGATTGTGTGGATCATTTATTTTTTTTAGAAACTTTGAGGCTTAGTATATATTACACATACAAGTAAGAATATAATGACAAGTATTCAACAGTATATCAATGTTAACAAGCATATCCTAAATAAAATAAAGGTAATCAAATTGAACATTTTCACGTTTCATCAAATTATACTCTAAAACTGTTTAGATTACCGACTCATTTGATAAAACGACCAAATTTTACAATATTTACTACCGAAGATCATGTCAGTAGAATATTATTTTATTTGTAATTTTACTTAAAGTCATTAGCAAAGCGTAATTTTAAATACTACCGCATTTTTTGGTGTTCCCATAGAGCCAGAAAACACGGTAAATTCTACTATATTCTGGTAGTTTTGACCATATTTTTAACAGTGCACATTTAAGAGTAGTTAGCGGAACAACAATAGCTCAGGGCGAAAAAAACTCCTGAGATTTATAGCAAGTAAGACAGCCAAACATTAAACATTATTATGGCCTTAATGCTCGAGAAGTATTGTTATTCCGCTAAATGCTCTGATGCATGGAGATTGCGATTTGAAAATGTTTATACTATTTTTCTCAATTTATTTAGTTACTATTTTTTTTTGATGATCTGTTCATCAATTTGGACTGGTCTTGCTCGAGATAAATTTTTATATAGGCTCTTAACATTCAAAAATATCATTAAATAGGTAATGCTTTTATCAATCCACATATCAATGGTAGTTCTCAAGCAAAGCATTTTAATATGGATAGGAGTATTTTATTTATGTTACACCTATAGCTGCACAATAGGGTATTGGTGACCTTCTGGAAAGCATCCCTGAGGATGATCCGAAGACATGATTTCTTAATTTAGAACCTCTGCTGAGGTAATTGCTTCCCTTAGCTCCTTTTGCCTGCACGTGAAATCCAGCTCTTGACGATAGAACAGTTTAAGGAGGACAGATATCGTACACGCTATGTCACGTGACTGATCAAAGTGGTCAAACATTCACTCACAAACCGCAGCCAATGATGCTTAACTTCGGTGATCTTCTGGGAGACGTGGGGTTTTGATACGAATAATACAGATCTTTTTTCTAATGCCCCCCACCTGGGTTGAGATAATTCAGGCGTATTAGGGCAGATTTGTTGACCACTCTTTCGGTGGCACCATATTAGGAAGGTCACCATTGCTCCCACAGTAAGGACAGATAGTACAGAGAATGAAAGAACATCCATGCCTTGTCCGGGATTCGAACCCTGAACCTTTCTGGTGCAAGGCCAGTTTCCTAACCTCTACGCAGTTCGGTCATACGAATGATATATAATAATTATTATTAAATAACAAATATTATTATCTGAAATACGAATAATATATAATAATTATTTATCTAAATTGAGTTTCATATTTATCAGCCATTTTAATTTTTTACTTGACCCCTCAATAACTAAGGTAGTTAATTAATAGCACCAGGTAAGTTTTGAGGTTTTTGATTAATTAGGTTTTTGATGATTCCTAGTTAATTAGGTAAATCTTTGGGTGCCTACTAGTTTCCTCTTATAAAATTATGATGATTTGGTATCAAATACAAATAAGATAAAGTTATTTTTTAATCTGTTATCTTGCTTAAAAATGCTATTCGTTAAATTTTTGAAGATCGTAAATTATAAGATATATTTATTATCTTATGTAGCTGCCAATTTAATTCATCATTTTACAAGCATTTTAAAATACGCTTTAATGTTTTTTTTTGAAATATATTATTCATTAAATTCTTCAAAATCGTAAATTATATGAAGCATATTTATTATTTTATGTAACTGCCAATTTAATTAATCATTTTACAAGCATTTTAAGATACGCTTTAATGTTTTTTTTTTAAATATATTATTCATTAAATTCTTCCAAATCGCAAATTATATGAAGCATATTTATTATTTTATGTAACTGCCAATTTAATTAATCATTTTAGGATACGCTTTAATGTTTTTTAAATATATTATAAAAACTAGTTAAAGATATTTTTATTTAATGTTTTGCATTCGATTACATTATAAAAGAATATTTTCTATCAGTACATTGATCTAATTAAAAGAAGTATTCCTTTCAAAAACAAGCTCCACTATCTGATTTTAAACATGTAGCTGCTTTAGAGACGCCAAACCATTTACAAAACATGTTAATAGTTTTCTTTATTATGCTTTAAGTAGCTTCTTAAGTTATCATACTTTCTTGATGAAAGAGAAGTTTACATACCTCAACAACAGAAGGAATAAAAGAAACGCTACTGAATCTATTTTATCGGTCATTTGTTCATAATGTATCTTTTGTCGTATCTAAATGTATGGAAAGGTTAAAAGTGTTATCTGAAAAATTCACACAGGAAAGTTGGTTTTGATGGTTTTTGGATTGCTTTCGAGCACCATTAAATGATTTTATTTATGATGAATTTTCGAATTTTAATATTTCAGTTTTTTTTATTCTTTTTATATAATGATGTTTCTTTTCTAAGAAATTTTATCAAACAATATTTTAGTTAATGTATACGTTGTTTACATGTTACATAAATCGGTTGAGTTGTTCATGAAGAAAAATAAGTTAGGAATTTTATTATTTAAATTTTTTAACTGTTATTCGAAAAAAATTCTTTAAGTTTTGAATTTGTTACATGAAAATTCGCAATTCCTTAAAATGTTAAAATATTTATTCCTCATAGACAGAAAATTTCATGATTAAAATATAGATCAAAACCATTTTTTTTTACGAATTTTTAAATACAAGTATCTAAACTATGTTTCAAAAGCTTGAATCAACGCAGATTCAGTACCTGAGTTATAGAAAAATTTGTAAGAAATAACATTAAGGATATTTTTAAATTAAATAAATATCACTTACATATTTTAATATTATTTATCATGGTATGGACCTCTATGGGTAATACGGGTGTTTATTTGCAACTTTCTGCAACATTTATTACAAGTATTTAATAATTGAATTTTTTTTTATATTTTCATCACATGAAATTTTTTATAAACATTACATAAAATGTTTTTAGAGCTATGCAGGTCCCGCAAAAAAGTCTTGTAAATACAACTTCAAATATAAAGCTTTTACGCTGTCCGAACTTTAAATAAAAGTGGAGTTTCATTTAAAAGAAATGAAGCATGAAGTACATTTTCAATTATACACTGAGAAAAAAAAAACGGTCAAAACTACCAGAATATGGTAAAATTTATCGTAATGTGTTTCTAGTTCTATGATGGGAACACCAAAAAGATTAGTGACCGTTATCTAATGGTGTTTTGGTAATGATTTTGGTAAAGTTAGCAATGAAATATGGTTCTACTCGTATAATGTGTAATAAAACTTGGTAAAAGTAGTAAAATTTTGGTAATTTTATCATGATACTTTAGAGCACAGCATGAAAATCATT